CTCCCCGGCGCGCTCGCTCTCTCCGCCGCGCTCGCGCTGCCGCCGCTCGCCCGCCCGCTCGCTCGCTCTCCGCCGCCGCTCGCTCCTCGCGCACACAATGAAGCTGCTGGCAGGGAAGTAGTGCCGGCTGCGGCCTCAGCACCCCTCCCCCAGCCGATGCCTCCGCCAGCTGAACATCTGGCCCTGGGGTGGGAGGGAGGGCCCGGGGGCGGGGCCTGGGGGCCGGGGCTAGACCTCTAGGGGGTGGGGTCAGAGCCTAGGATAGCTAAGCGCGTCCCTCCGTGGGAGACCCCCTGGTGGCTCTGGGCCCGCAGACCTGGCCCCTGGGGGAGACCCCACTGCGCCCCAGAAGTAGCCTTGGGTCAGCCCCACCCATGCGCACACCGGCCCCATACACCAGTGGGCTCGGGTTACTGTCGCCTGCCCCGGGGGCCCAGAGGCCGTCTGCCCGCCCGCCGGGTGGAGCCCAGCTTTTCCTTCCATTTCCCTTCCTACCAAGGAACTCCCCGTCCCCCTTCCGCATGGAGGACCCCCCCCATGCGCCCTTGGGGGCCAAAGCGGATGGGAGGCCGGACAGGCGCTGGATGAATTTCTCCAAGAGCTACTGGGGCAGAGCCTGACTTCTGTTGGATCTGTGGGTCCCTAGGGGTCACCCCAGTTTCCCCTTAACTGCTGCAGTCTTTACCCCAAAAATAGTGGTGCCAAAGGCTCCGAGGTGGGAAAGGCAGATGTAGGGGAAGGTCTGGGCTGAAGGGGGCGGGAGGAGTGGGTCTCCTCCCCAGGGGGTTCAGTGTCACCCCAGCTGGAAGCAGCATCCCCCTCCCCCCGACAAGCACGGGCAGAGTGACAGACAGGGAAGCGGGTTGGGAGGCACAGACGGAGATGGGGGAGGGGGTGGGCAGAGACTTTCAAAGCCAGACCCAGCCACCCTGCCAGGCACACAAAGAGCCAGCACACTCACCGGCAGCGGCTCAGAGCCTGTGAGCTGCACCGGTGCCTGTCCCCGCCGCCCGGGGCACGTGCTGCAGTGCACACAGGCCGAAGCCCCCGCCCGCTGTCCGTCCCAGGAGGAGCCCCGGACTCCTGGACACACCTCTACCCGGGCACACCACGCTGTGCCCAGATCGAGCCGAGCCTGCATTCGCATCCTCCTCTCCCTTCATCGGCCACTCTGTAATCAGATTCCTAAATTTAGAAGCTGCCCTGGGCCCAGCCGGGGATCCCCACCCCCACCCATTGGTTGTGGCCGACCCGCCGGGGTCCTGCGGTCAGACCACGACCTGGCTGGGTCCGCCTGTTCCTGGGGGCTCCCAGCTTGTGGCCGGCAGAGTCAGGCGCGACCCCACCCGACTCCAGCACTGTCGGGCCACAGAGGGCCACCCAGTCAGAGGCCACGTTGCCCGCCACACCTCCCGCCAGAGTGATGGGGCCTTTTTCCTCCTCTTAAATCATGAACTGGGCACCAAGCCCCAGGGTGGGGAGTTCTAGGACAAAGGAAGTGAATGAATGAATCAAAGGCTATCTGAGCTGAAGGGGTTCGTTCCAAGAGGCAAAGCGACCCCTAGAAATGAGTGGCAGGGAGCCAGCCCTGTCCCTAGCACCTCCACCCTTTAGGGAGGTGCGCTTATTTCTGTGCTTTCTGCCTAGCTGGCAACCATGATGCACACCACCCTCTCCTAGGATAACGGCTTTCATCTTGCGACTGGCGCCCATTAGTCAAGGCCTCCATTGGGTTCCCCATCCCCCACTTGCCTTCTCCACACTCTAGGATCCTGGGCCAAGACCCCACCCCACCCAGGCCTAAGCATCAAGCTTAGTTCTTGCCTCCTCCTTCCAGCCCCAGGTGCCCTCGCACATGCCCTAGCAGGGAACCCCAGTCACCGGCTTCCCTTCTGTCCCACAGCCCGCACCCCTCCCACACACTGAGACCTAATTCTGTTCTAGCTTCCCCCTGGAACAAGGCAGCAGGGCCAAAGGAAGATCCTGCTTTGGGGGTGGGGGCAGGGAAGGGAGGTTTATTCTTGGGATTGGGTCCTGGGCCCTGGTGTGTGGAGCCTTCTAGCAAGGAAGTGGGACACAACACTGGAGGGGCAGCAGAGGGACAACTGCGGGGGCCACAAGGTGCAGAGAAGTGGCTGGTTCCCAGTGACCAGTCTGGTCCCTAAGGGGAAAGGGAGCAGGGGAGGGGCAAGGCCCCACCCCTCCCACCTGCTGCAGCCGCCCCCTCCCCAGCTGGCCCCCTCTTTTGTGCGAAGGCACACAAAGGACAAGGGGCCCTGGCCGGTCTGGCCATCTGCTCCCAGCAGCCTGGAGGCTCTTAAAGAGACAGCACCCCCTCCCTGCCGCCCTAGGGCTGTGGGGTGCGGCTATGCCGCAGGACTCAGTCTCAGCAGCACCCCAGATCCCACCCAGCATTCCCTGGCACCCCAAGTCCTAAGGTCAGGAATCATCTTCCCCCAGGCCTGGGGGGCAGAGGTGCCACGTGGCCAGGAACATGAGGTGTGGGAAGGGAGAGAGGCAGCCAGGGACCAGCCCCTCCTCTCAAGCAGCCTGAGGAAGCAGAAGCAGGCAGCAAGAACCCGGTCCCTCACCTCCCTGAGGCCACCTGCATGCTTAGTGAGAGCACAGGTCTCCCGGGAATGCCCTCCCGCCATTTTGACAGATGAGCTTCTACCCTTGGCAGCAGGGAGGGAAGGCGACCACTACAGTGCTTTGCCTTCTAAGGGATGCAGGCCAGGGAGCAGGCTGCCTCACAGCAAGCCTGAGCCTGCAGTTGGGCACATTTAACCCCTGTGCTCTTCCAGATGAGGAAACTGAGGCTTTGCTTGGCCCCACACTGGCCTCTGCCTGAAGCTTGCCTCCCAAGCCTAGGCCCTGAAAGGTTTCTGGGCTCTGATTCCCAGATTCCCAGTAAAAAGCCAGCCATAACCCAGCCAGAGCAGAAGAGCTCTGTGAACCTCTCAGCTCAGACACAAACGTGCTTGATAGGATTGTGTCATTGTGTTTTACTGTTGTGTTCTCAGGGCCTGGCATACAGCAGGCACTCAGCATTTGCTGAAGGAATGAACAAATGTCAGGGGTCCACAGATCCTTTTTAGCTGGGCTTCTGCATGCTGAACCTTCCAGGCATCTTGCCTCCTCCTCTTCAAGGTGAGGCAGAGGGACAAAGGTTGAACAGGGATGCTGGGAAAGAGGAGGGTGACCTTGGGTGAGCCACCGAGCCTCCCCTCCTCCCAAAGGCGGGGGCAGCTCCAGCCAATCCCTAACCTGCCAGCCCTGCCAGACAGACTGGGACTGTCCCAAGCAGAGGCTGGAGGCTGGCTGCTGTGGTGTGGTGCCTGGGACCCTCGCCAGGCCCTCAGTGGCCACAGCCAAGGGGCTAAACTTGGGGAGGGAAGCAGGCTGGTAGGCCTGGGGTGGAGGAGGGAGGCAGGACCCAGGCAGAAACCTGGCTGAGCAACTGAGGGGTTCTCCCCTTGCTGGGAAGTAGAAGGGCTTGGGGACTGCCCCCTGGCCCCTCAGTGATACTCAGACAGGAATTCCTCCTTCCCAGTCCTTGGCTCCTCTTAGGGGCCCCCTGGCAGGCTGTGGACCCAGGATGCTGCCTCCCCATCCCAGGGTCCCGTTGGTGATCCCCACCCCCTAGCTCCACCCATCCCACCCCCACTGGTACCAAAAAAAAAAAAAAAAAAAGACTGAAAGGTGACAGAGGTGGCAATTGGTGTTTGGCACCACCTTAGCTCCGAAGCTAAAGGAAGCACTGGGGCGGAGCTGAAGCAAGCTTGAGGTCCGTCAAGAGGGGACCCCAGGCTTCCTGACTCCAGCCCAGGGAAATCTGATACCCTGAGCCAAATGCCTCCAGAGCTGGTGAGGAAGGGTCTAAAGACCTTGGCTGACAGGCAGGAAGGGGACAAGGGCCTCTCAGACATCATGAAGGGATCTTCCCTCCTCCTTTCCACCCCCAGGAGCCTGCTTCCGTTCCTGAAGCTATAGGAAGATGGCCCCTCACTCTCACCTGGGCCACAGCTGCGCCCTCTGGCGGTGGCAGCACAGACGGGGGAGGGGGGCCCACCTTCACCTACGTATGACTATCCTTCCAAGAAGGCGGAGCCTGGCACCCTGAGAATCCAGGCTCAAGAGTGGGTGCCTGGCCTTTTATCCCCCCGATCTATTGGAGTAACCAAGTCTTCGCTCTGTCCCAAAGCAGTCACAAGCAGTCAGAAGAGACTTGGGAACACACAGGACCAATGTCGGCCAGAAAGCTCCAATCTAGGGTAAATTCCAACTCTGCTTCTCCCTTGCTGTGTGGCCTTAACTTAGTGACTTGTCCTCTCTGACCCGCTGTCCCTCCAGCTCTGAAAGGGAATGCTAATTTTCACCTCATCAATTATTAAGAGGATCCAGTAACATCTCAGACCGAGTATAGCAAGTACATCTTTCAATATCGGTTTCCTTGTGGAGAAGGGTTCTCCGCACCCAACACCCCTGCAGGCCTTTTTGGTCATAGCTCACTGTTCCACGAGGCAGCCGGTACCCTGTAGATCAACTCAAAGCCAGCCCTATTGGTCTAATGGACCTACAGAGGACTCTGGGGCTGACCTCCCTTCCAGGACATCAGAAGATCAGCTCCCTCCCTTTAGAACTGCCAACAGCTCCAGAATCCTGCCTCCTCTGATCCTGCCAATCCATAATTCGAACGTAACTGGATACAGTTTCTTCATTTCTTCTATCAATCCCCACTCCTGCTCAATAGCCTTCCATGGCTTCCCAGCTTCTCCTTGCAAAGCTGTCCCAACCTGGTATTCTGGTATTCGCTGGCTCTCTAGCCTGTGCTTGATCCAGCCAAACAGGTCTGTTCACCATCCCCTGAGCCCCACCTGGAGCCCCTGCAAACACTGGCCTGGCCTGGCCCACCCATCTGAAAGCTCCAGGCCCAGCCCCTCCCTCAGGACTCCTGGGCCCAGCAGATCAGCTCTGCTCTGCCAGGGCATATCCAGGGCTTCAGGACCTACAGCCAGCACCCTCCAGCACCCCCTTCCTGGACCTCCTACCCTCACCAGGTGGCCCTCTGTACATAGCCTTGCTTCCCACTTCAGTGGGAGGAACTCCATTCACAGCCTGCTCTCAGCTGTTTCCATCTCTTTCAAGGCCACCTCACTCCAGGCTCCCTACAACCTCCCAGTGCTTTGGTTCTTATGCACCTCTCCTCCATGGTTCTTTCCCCCTCCGCCCGGAAATCTGCTTCATCCTTCCCTCCGCACCCCAGCCAAGCCCCTCCCTTCCCCTTTCCAGCCTCTCTCTCCATGACTTCCCTTTCTGCTAAAGCTACTGCTGTCTTTTTTACCCCCAAGCTGGGCTTCTTGAAAAAGGTTGTTCACACCCCACTCTCCCTGCCGTCACCTCCCACTCACTTCCCAACCCAGGCAGTGCCACCCGACAGGAGCTATCTGCCAAGGTCACCAGCAGAGTGGTTATCTCTAAAGCCAGAGGCCTTTAGTGGGGATGGTCTTTCCACCTCTGGACACTAGTGGTTCACTGGCTGCCCGCCTGGCCGGCCTCCAAACGCTTTCTGGTTGTCTTTGGGGTTCCATCGGCATCCCTCCATTCCCCAGGCTCTGATGTTTCTGTCTAGACTATGATTACCACCCACCAAGTATGTCCCCCAGCCCAGTCCCCTACTCCAGGCTCCAATCTCCATACCATCAGGGACCACCTCTCAGGACTGTAAATATGGTCTTGAAGGGAGTCTTTACCACTGTCCAGCCTGCCCCTTGCTACTCCTTTCTCTCTAAAACCCAAAATGGTCATGTCTTCCTCTCCTTTGCTTTCAGGCCCTCGCTCTCCAAAATTGCTGTTGATACCCCTCCACGGGGACCCTTCTCCAGCTGTCCCCTGCTGAGACTTACACCAGCTTCCTTGCTTCCTCCTTTGCCCTTTTCTCTGTCTTCTATTCTGCAACCATGATGATCTGATCAAGCGAAAAAAATCTGATCAAGTCAGTCCCTGCATCTTATTATCCTGTCTCCAAAAAGGGGAGAGGCAATAAGATGACTGGGGAAGGGGACTGGAGAGATGGCTTAACAGTTAAAGCACTGGCTGCTCTTGCAGAGGACCCAGGTTTGGTTCCCAGCTCCCACATGGCGGCTAACAACCACCCATAATTCCAGTTCCAGGGAATTTGATGCCCTCTTCTGACCTCTGGGGGCATTGCATGATACAGATGCACTTACATGCATGTAGGTAGTATACTAAATGTACATACATACATAAATATACAGGTAGTATACACATAAAATAAATAAAATATTTTAAAAAATTTTTTTGGTTTTTTTGAGACAGGGTCTCCCTGTAGCCCCAGCTGGCCTGGAACTCGCTTTGTAGGCGAGGCTGGGCTTGAACTCAGAGATCTTCCTGCCTCTGCCTGGGACTAAAGGCATGTGCCACTACGCTTGGCTTAAAAAAATGGTCTCTTTTTTTGAGACAGGGTCTCCCTGTAGCCCTAGCTGGCCTTGATTTACTATGGAGACCAGGCTGGCCTTGAACTCACAGAGATCCGCCTGCCTCTGCCTCCCAAGTGCTGGGATTAAAGGTGTGCACCACCACACCTGGCCCCCCAATTTTTTTTTTTTTTAAAAGATGTCTCAGGGCTGGAGAGATGGCTTGGCAGTTAAGAACACTGGTTGTTCTTGCAGAAGACCTGGGTTCAAATTCCAGCACCCACATGGCAGCTAACAACTGTCCCTAACTCCGGTCCTAGGGGATCCAACAGCCTCTTCTGACCTCCGCAGGCATTGCACAACAGGAGTGCACTTACCTACATGCAGGCAATACACACATACACATAAAATAAGTAAATAAATAAAATGTTTTAAAAGTTTAAAAAATAATAAAAGATGTCTCAGTGGGTAAAGTACTTGCTGCTAAGTCTGAGTATCTCAGTTCAATCTCTAAGAGGACCCACATGGTGGAAAGACAGAACTGGATTCCAAAAGTTGTCCTCTGACCTCCACACTGCACTGTGGCATGCCCCGCCCCCCCAAAAAAGACAGGGTCTTCTGTATCCCAGGATGATCTTGGACTCCTGATCCTCCTGCCTCCACCTTTCTGGTGCTGGGATTACAGGCATGTACCACCACACCCCATTTATTCAGTGCTAGGGATCATACCTGGCAGGTTTTGTGTATGCCATGCAAGCACTCTACCAACTGAGTTACCTCCCCAGTCCTTGGCAACTATCTTTGGTCCTCAAGAAAAGCCAACTAGGAAGCCAGTAAGATAGTTCAGTCTGTAATGGCACTTACCACCAAGCCTGCCCACCTGAGTTTGATACCCAGAACCCACAAGATAGAGGGAGAGAACCAACTCTCAAAAGTTGTCCTCTGACCACCACACACACCAGACGGATGGATGGATGGATGGATGGATGGATGGGTGGGTGGATGGATGGATAGAGATAGATAGATAGATAGATAGATAGATAGATAGATAGATAGATAGATAGATAGATAGATATAAAAAAAGAAGTTTAAATGGGGACTGGAGAGATGACTCAGTGGTTAAGGGCACTGGCTGCTCCTGCAGAAGACGGCGCAGGTTCAGTTCCCAGCACCCACATGGTGGCTAACAGCCATCAATAACTCCAGTTCCAGGGGATCTGACATCCTCTTCTGGCCTCTGTGGCTATTGCATACATGGGTACACATATATATCCATGCAAAACTAATATACATAAAATATAAATAATTTTGTTAAAAATTTTTCAGAGCCAGGCATGTGGCACACACCTTTAATCCCAGCACATGGGAGAGGCAGGTGGATCTCTATGAGTTCAAGGCCAGCCTGGTCTATATAGTGAGTTCCAGGACAGCTGGGGCTACAGGGAGACCCTGTCTCAAAAAGACCCCCTCCCAAAAAAAAGGAAAAAAAATTTCAGAAAAGCCAAGTCATTGGTGCAAGCCTGTCCTTTTAGCTGCTCAGGAGGCTGAGGCAGGAGAAACAAAAGTTCAAGGCCAGCCTGGGCTACAGAGTGTGTTCAAGGCCAGGGCAACTTAGACCCTGACTCAAAACAAAGCCAGCCAGATTCTATACCTGGGAACCAAAAATCCCAGCACTCAGGAATTTAACCCAGGGTTGCAAGTTCAAGGCCAGCCTGGGCTACATAATGAGACCTAATCTGGATAAATAATTAAGAAGAGAGCTGGGAATGTTGGTACACTGGTAGACTGTTCACCTAGCATGCATGAGTGAGTTCTATCCCTAATATAGCAAACCAATAAAAAACAACAGGGCATGGTTCTACACAACTGCAATGTCAGCATTTTGGAGGTTGAGCCAGGAGGATGCAGGATTTAAGCCTGGACTACAGAGCAGAAACCTGTTTTGAAAAAACAGGAGGGCTGGGTTGGTGGTTCAGTTGGTTCAGTGCTTGCTGTGTAACCATGAAGACATGAGATAATCCCCAGCGCCCACATAAAAAAGCCAGGTATTAGCAGTGAGAGGCAGTGGCAGAGATCTCCATGAGTTCAAGGCTAGTCTAGTCTACATAGTGAGTTCCAGTCCAGCCAAGGAAACACAGTGAGACACTATTTAAAAAAAAAAAAGTGCAGGGCTGGAGAGATGGCTCAACAGTTAAGAGCACTGAATGCTCTTGCAGAGGACCCAGGTTCAATTCCCAGCACCCATATGATGGTTAACAACCATCTGTAGCTCCAGTTCCAGGGTATCTGATGCCTTCTTCTGACCTCCGAGGGCATTGCACGACACGACATGCGGGCAATACACTCATACACATAAAAATAATTTTTTGGCGTGGCGGTGCACACCTTTAATCTTGGGTGGATCTCTGTGAGTTCAAGGCCAGCCTGGACTACAAAGTGAGTTCCAGGACAGCTGGGGCTACAAGGAGACCCTGTCTCAAAAAGACCCCGCCCCCAAAAATAATAAAATTAAAAAAAATAAAAAAATAATTTTTTAAAGTTGGGGGGCAGGCTAGAGAGATGACTTAGCAGTTAAGAACACTGGCTGCCCTGGCAGAGGACCTGGGTTTGATTCCCAGCACCCACATGGTGGCTAACAACTGTTCATCATTCCAGTTCCAAAGGAATTTGATGCTCTCTTCTGATCTCCTCAGGCATTACACTTACATTCATTCAGGCAATACACTCATACACATAGAAATAAAAATAACAAAATTTTTTTTTTGTCTTTTTGAGACAGGGTCTCCCTGTAGCCCCAGCTGTCCTGGAACTCACTATGTAGACCAGGCTGGCCTCGAACTCACAGAGATCCCCCTGCCTCTGCCTCCCGAGTGCTGGGTTTAAAGGTGTGTGCTACCACACCCAGCAAAAAATAAATATTTTTTAAGAAATACAAATTATTGAAGTTGTGGCATTGTTCCAGTCACAATGATTGAGGTGGTTTGTAATGACTGTCTGGGGAAGAAAGTGTGCGTCAAGTGCAACACCGATGACACCATCGGGGACTTGAAGAAACTGATCGCAGCCCAGACTGGCACTTGGAATAAGATGGTGCTGAAGAAGTGGTACACAATTTTTAAGGACCACGTGTCTCTGGGAGACTATGAAATCCACAATGGGATGAACCTGGAGCTTTATTACTAGTAGAGTTCATTCCCCCAACCCACCCTTCTCCCCCAATCCTGCCCTCCTCTCCTACCATGATCTGACACACTGTATGAATGCCTGATTTTTGTTTTGTTTTGTTTTTTGTTTTTCGGTCTTTTTGAGACAGGGTCTTCCTGTAGCCCCAGCTGTCCTGGAACTCACTATGTAGACCAGGCTGGCCTTGAACTCACAGAGATGCGCCTGCCTCTGCCTCCCGAGTGCTGGGATTAAAGGCATGTGCCACCACGCCCAGCAAATGCCTGTTTTTAACAAGTCATGTGAATAAAAAAATTTGTGTGCTGCTTCAAAAATTAAAAAAAAGAAATACAAATTATTTTTGTTTAAAGCCCCCTCAGAAAGCTAAGTTGGAAAACAATTTAGGAAGACACCATTGACCTCTAGCCTTCCTATATACACACATACACTGCACACACACGAACACATGTACATGCATCCCAAAAAAGGAAGGGGGAGGGAAGAGAAAGAAAGAGAGAGAGAGAAAGGCCAGCATTGTGAAGTGCACCATGAAAAGATGGGGAAACATGAGTTTCTTGATGATATTGAGCTCTTTGGTCAACCTCGTCCTCTGAAGCCACTGGGCCTTTGAATCTTTCTCCTAGGAGCCAATCCACTTGGAGTCGATTTGAGCTCAGTTAATTTCCATTCTCTGTCACACACATTCTCTGTGACCACAGCCTCAGAAACAAGGCAACTGTCCCGCATGATTCCAACAGAAGGCCTCAGCAACATTGTGCATGTGACTGCTGCTCCCTGGAACGAAGCTCAGGTGTCACCTTGTCGTGGACAACTGCCCCCTCCCCACCTGAACACTGACCACTGACCTACTTACCTGGCTGCTGCCTCCTAGATGTCCTGAGTTCACACAGGGTGAAGCCTCCATCTTACCCACCTAAGCTCCTAGTGAGGTTCCACAGCAACTGATGCAAAGTAGATTCTCAACACAACACAGGGCTGCTGAGGCTTCCTGCTTGCCCCAACTTCTAAGTGCTTGGATCCTTCTTAGTCCAAAGACATCCACACTGCTCGCTCCTGAGTCACCTCTGCCAAGCTTGCCCTGATTTCACCAACACATCAGGAACTGCTTAAAGCCAAAGCTTTGCAATAGTTGTAGAAATAAGAATGAACTTGAAGTGCCTATTAGTTTTTCACACTCCATTCCCAGTCCCTAATTAGCAGAAGTACACAGCGGGCACTCAGTAACTATTATTGAATAAATCAGTGGATGAATAAGCAAGTGAATTGAATGCTTATAAACACCAACCCCTGTGAGCAGTCAGTCCCACCTGAGTTGGCTTCTTCTACCACCCCTCCCCCAGCAGCCCTATTATACAGGTGAGAAACAGGCCTCAGGTCACCTGCTTGTTTGGAAACAGGGTCACATGTAGCCCAGACTAGCTTCAAACTCACTGTGCAGCAGAGACCCTGAACTCACTTTGCGGGGGAGGGGTGGTTGAGACAAGATTGGCCTCAAACTCACAGAGATCCGCCTGCCACTGCCTCTCAGGTGCTGGTATTAAAGGTGTGCGCCACCATGCCTGGCCTTGACCTTGATCTCTCGACCCTCCTGTCTCCAACCTCCCAAATGCTAGCATTGCAGGTGTGTGCCAGTCACCTTGCCCCATATTATGCTGTGCTGGAGATCAAGCCTGGGGCTTTCTGCATATCAGGCAGCCACTCCACCAACTGAGCTACACATCCCTAGTCCTAACACCCGACGTTTGGACGGAACCCATCTGAACCATAGCCAGGGAAAAGTGGGGCTACCAGGAGGCGATCAGCCCTGCTGTCCCCCGATCCCTGACATAACACTTTCCCCGATCCCTGACACAACACTTTCCTGCACGACTGCCTGTTGTCTGTAAAGTTAACAGCGGTAGGATGAAGACAGCCCTCTTCCCTGGGCTGGGGTCCCGGAACTATGGACCACAGGTGAGCAAGAATTTCAGTGAAGCACCCAGCAGTGTGTTGCAGGGACAGATAACCTGGAACACACAGGGAAGTGAGACAGGCAAGTGAAGTGGACCGATTGCGGAGTGTGTGGAGGTTAGATGTGTTCTGTCATTCATTCAACAAGTGCTTCCTGTCCACCTTCTCCCCTGAAAAGTCTTAGCCAGCACATATTGGCTGGCAGAGGGCCTAGAGACTGTGCTGATGAGGACTCTGGTCTGCAGCTTGCTTCAGCAAGAAAGGCTGCCAGGAGGGATTAGTAATGTCTGCCACCGACATGAGATGGGATGGCAGGGAGGCAAATGGAAGGAAAGAGGCTGGACACAGAACAAATTTGGCACAGAAACACACTGACTCCAAAGGGGATGGCCTGGGGTTTCATGGGTTGAGTTATATCCTCTCCAAGATTCCTGCATTGAAGTCGTAACCTAGAGTACCTCAGAAGGTGATCTCATTTGAAGATAAGCTGTTTTATTTTTAAATGTGTGTGTGTGTTTTTTAAAAAGCATTCCTCTTTTTCAGCTAGAGTGGTGGCGCACGCCTTTAGTCCCAGCACTTGGGAGGCAGAGGCAGGCGGATCTCTGTGAGTTCAAGGCCAGCCTGGTCTACATAGTAAGTTCAGGTCAGCTGGGACTACAGGGAGACCCCGTCTCAGAAACACACACACACACAAAAAAAGCATTCCTCTTTTTTAAAAAAAGAATTATAACTGTGTGTGGTGGTATAGCCCTCTAACTCTAGCACTCAGGAAGCAGAGGCAGGTGGATCTCTGGGAGTTTGAGGCAAGCCTGGTCTACATAAAAATTTTCAGTCCAGCCCAGCTGGGGCTACAGGTGTAAGAGTGAAACCACGGAGGACAAGTCACGGCCTTTGGGTTGCAACAGCAAGAGGTTTATTCAGGACACAGGTACCTGTGGGCACAGAGTCTCCTCGGAGGACTTGCGCGCCCCAGGTTGAGTTCAGGGGGGTTTTTATAAGGCAGAAGCAGGGTACAGAAGCAGAAACGCGGTTATTGGTTAATTTCAAACACACATAGTAATTTTACCAGTAATTTCAAAGGTATGCAGAGGTATGGGGTAAGGTCCGGGGCTGAGGGGAAATAGGATTGCTAAATGGGAGGTGACCTCAGAAGCACAGACGTTTTCTAAAGATTTCCTGGTATCGGGCCCCCAGGGTGGTCAGGAGTTCTGTCTTGTTTATGGCTTCATCTGTGAGGCTTGACCGACGCCTGCCTGTCCTGCAGCCTTTTGATAAGGCTGGTTTTGGTTTTTGTTAAGTTTTAACAAGTGGGCTGTGGGCCCCTGAGCACTCATGGTGCCTAGTTTCTTTTTATTTTCTCACAGGAAGACCCTGTCTCAAACAAAACAAAACAAAACAAAAACTAGCAAGGGGCTGGCTCAGTGGTCAAAAGCACTGGCTGCTCTTGCAGAGAACTGGGATTCAGTTCCCATCACCTACATGGTGGCTAACAACAGTCCACAACTCTGCTTCCAGAGGATCCGACACCCTCTTCTGAGCTCTGAGGGCATTCTATGACATGGGTGCAGTTATATACATGCAGACAAAACACTCATACACATAAAATAAAAATAAATACATTTTAATTAAAAAATAAATAAATGAAAAAACAAAAAACAAAAAATGGGGAGGCGGGGTTTAAGATGTGGACTCCCTGCAAGATCGCATCATGTGACCTGACCTCAGCTTTCCACAAGCCTAGGAGAAGGGAAACACAGCACCTGCCAGCATCCTGACTTTGCATTTCTAGGAAGGGAAGACAATCAACTTCTGTGGTTAAAGCCCTCAGTCTGTGCTAGGATCCAGCAGACCTGGCAGACGGATGTATAGGGCAATGGGTGGTCTCTCTGCACAGGGGGTCTGTGCAGGTCAGGCAGGAGTTAGCTGGACTGAGAGCTAAATAGGCAATCCTACCCTCGGGAGGTGGAGACAGAGGGCTCAGGAGTTCAAGATCATCATCTCTACATAGTGAGTATAAGATCAGACCTAGATACAGAAGACCGTGTCTCCAAAAACCAAAAAAGAGGTTCTGTTGAGATGACTCAGCAGGTAAAAATGCTTCTCACAAGCCTGACAGCTTGAGCTTGATCTTTGGTACCCCCAGTGGGAGGAGAGAACCAGCTCCTAAGGCTGTCCTCAGACTGTCATGTGTGTACTGCAGCACACACAAACATACAATAGTAATAATAAATAAAATAGCTTTAATCCCTGCACTCAGGAGGCAGAGGCATGTGGATCTCTGAGGTCAAGGCCAGCCTGGTCTCCATACCAAGTCCAGGTCGGCTGTGACTAGAGGGAGACCCTGTCAGCTGCCACGTGGGTGCTGAGACTTGAACCCAAGTCCTCTGCAAGAGCAGTCAACGCTCTTAACTCCTGAGCCATCTCTCTGGCTCCTCTTTTTTTTAAATATTTAATTTTTAAATTTTTTTCTGGTGTTTTTGAGACAGGGTCTCCCTGTAGCCCCAACTGTCCTGGAACTCACTATGTAGACCAGACTGGCCTTGAACTCAGAGATCCGCCTGCCTCTGTCTCTGAAGTGCTGGGATTAAAGGCACGAGCTTGGCTTAATTTATTATTTTTATTATGTGCATGAGTGTATTGCCTGTGTGTATGTAAGTGCACCCATGTCCTGCAGAAGAGGCTGCTGTCAGAAGAGGCTGCTGTCAGAAGAGGCTGCTGGATTCCTTGGAACTGGAGTTAAGGACAGTTGTTAACTGCCATGTGGGTGCTGGGATTCAAACGTGGGTCTTTTGTAAGAACAGCCAGTGCTCTTAACCGCTGAGCCATCTCTCCAGCCCAAATAAAAAAAGTTTAATGTTTGGGGCTGGAGAGATGGCTCAGCGGTTAAGAGCACTGACTGCTCTTTCAGAGGACCCAGGTTCGATTCCCAGCACCTACATGGTGGCAATGAACAATCCTTACCTCCAGTTCCAGGGGAATCTGAAGCCCTCTTCTGACGTCTGCAGCATTGCACAACACGTGTGCACTCACATACATGCAGGCAATACACTGGTACACATAAACTAAAAAAATAAAATAAAATAAAAAGTTTAATGT